TGGTGATAATTGAATTTGWTGGACGGTCCATTTTCTGTTGAACAAACAGATACAAAAAAAACACATGTAGAACGTGTTTAATGTTCTATTTAAGATTTTTCTCCTTTTTCAGATATTTTTAAATCGCATATTGCAGGATATTCAGTTTAGTGATATTGATGGTGACTCGATGTTGAAGCCTTGAAGGTGATATTCACTAAAATAACCTTTTAACAACAAAAAAACAAAAAAAAAATCAAATGTACAAATCGAAAAAAAATATAAGGAACAAAAGTTATGATCTTAAATAAAGAACAAAAGTTTGGATCTTTACAAACAAAAGTTTATCATTGAATTCGGTACTCCTCCTTATGTCGTTCAGCTACATTGAATTGGTCTTCGAATAAGTGGTAGGAAATGGAACTCTAACTGTGTTCAGCTATGTTGCTAAAACCCCATTTGTTATCAATGCCAAATGAACAGTGAGATGTGGCTTATGTGTCTTCTTCAAGGCCAGGGCTTAGAGGTATTGTATCCCTAGATAGTTAGGCCAATGTAAGAAGTTAGTTCAACTGTTTATCAAGTATTGTGCTGCTCAAGAATTAGCATTCTCTGCAAAGGAATTGGTTTTTGCTTTGAATCAAATTAAAGTGGAGCTGAATTGGTATTTTTCACTTGGCTAATCTTATAGATCCCAACTGTACACACGTCTGATGTGCAGAGACTATCCCAAGACCTATGCCAGGGCGAAATACTTTGAAGAACTAAAACCTTGAAATGAAAGGTGTGATGTGGATTTCCTTGTGCTTCTCAGAACCAAGTTGATTCAAGCAGATACCATTAGACGCAGGCTGTCGCTTACTTGGTAGAAGGTAGAGGTCTCTTAGATCAAGCTAACAATTTTTCAGAGTGTCTTGTTTTGAGTTTTAAGTTTCTTTTATGATGTGTTTCTCTGCAGGTTCAAACATGCCGTGRACAGCTGAAGCGATCGATGTTTTCAGAAAGGCGAATGTTCTGATTGCTCCTGCCATTACTGCTGGAGCTGGAGGAGTAAGTTTGTAACGTCCGCGAACCAAATGTGTATTTTTGGTTCGGATGTCGATCGACCAGCTCGTTTTCAATCGACTGGGTCATTTTTATTGGGAAAAAATCCTTCGTGTTAAAGGAAAAATAGTCGGATCTCGYGAATGTTTTTAGCCATCGTGGGTAACGGAGGAATAAAATATTTGGGTGTGGTGGAGTGATTAATTAATTAAGCATGGGTGTTGAGAATTAAACAAATGAGCATGGGCTCTTTGATTAAAGAATGAGTGGCATGGGCAAGTGTTTTTTTTGTGTTTGGGAAATGTTAAAGAAGAAACATGTTTCCCCCCATGCTCATCACACCCATGCTTGGATGTCTTGGGGCTTTGCCTATAAATATCACTTCCTTCCTTTTGCTCTCAGCCACTCTTCTTCCATACCAAAACGCTGCCCAATTTTCAGTAGAACCGAGAGTTAGTGAGAAAGAGGGGAGGAAGAAGAGTAACAACCGTGTGAAGAAGGGACGAACGGCTAGGGAGAACGGATCGGTTTGGTCTCAAATTTTGAGGGTAAGTTCTCCACTCTTTTAGCTTGATATAGGAGAAAACCGCTTGTCTTTTGGTTGAGTATTCTAGGAGTTATGGTCGTTTTACTGAGAGATGTTTCTGCAGCATCTCTTCTGCAATCAGTCCAGTTCCAAGGACGATTCCTGTCGTTCTATAAGTACCCAGGAGGCGAGCAAGATTTCATTGGAAATCTCTGAGTCTTATCTTTCCACAGACATCGATTTGGGTTTATTCAGAGGTGATCTCCGTTCTCTGTGTGCTTTTGAAGTTAGTGTGTCGTTTCTGAAATATTTGTTCTCAGTTCTGATCATCGAGTTTGCGAGCTAATTTTTCCGTCGAACTGCTTAGAGTTAGGTTACGTTCTATACACCTCTGTAAAGCTCTKGATGTCTAGTTTCTAGAACAGGTTTTATACCTTAATTTGGTTAAGAATTCGCTGAGTTATGGTCCTTTGAACTTGGGTAGTTCGTGCAGTTTTTCTGCAATTTCCTGCGGTTTTCGTCCGGAGTTGCTGTTTTTGGGGACGATTTCCCGGCAAACCGTTTGGGGTTAGAAGTCGTTCGATACGGTGTTGGAAAGCTGTTGGTGTCTAGTTTCCAGAACCGTTTTCCGTTCGCGATTTGGTCCAGTGAGTCGGAAGTTATTCCAGTCGCAAAACAGGTGAGTGCGTGACCATGATTTTTGCGTGTATTTGGGTGTCATAATGCGTTTGATTGCGAATTGAAATGATTGTTGATCGATTATTGCTAGTTGGGGTGTTATTAGTGTTTATATCCAATTTAAGTATCATGGATTATGGTTGATGTTGTGTTGACTTCTGGGGTTCACTTTTTGGGTTGACTTTTTGGGTTGACTTTTTGTGTTGATTTTTTMWTTMATTMWTCGTTTGGTATTATGGTATCCCCTA